CCAATAAGGCTCCAGCAACTCCCACCCCCAAATAAGACTCCAGCATTCCCCCTCAAAGGAGGCTCTGGCATCCTCCTCTAAAATCAAGGTCTGGCATATTTCTGCTGCCCCCCCAAGCCAGGGTCCGTTGTCTCCTCCCAAAACCAGGCTCTGGCATCCCTCTCCCCCCACCCCCTCCAAAATCACTATGGATGGGCTCCTTCTGCAAAGGCCCCGTGAGAAGGGCTGGGAACAGCCTGTCACGGGATGCCCATCCCTGTGGCTTCGACATGGTCCCACTGGCAGCGGGCGCAGACGTTGCCGCAGGTTCACAGGAAGCACCCAAGCCCGTGCACCATCTCCACATGTCCACTCGGCCACCAGACCTGCTTAACCCCACCACAGACCCCCCTCAAGCAAAGCCATTCCCTTTGGCTACGCTTCTCCAAGCTCCAACCTGCCCTCTTAAGACTTGGAAGCCCAAATTCAACTTACTTCACGCAATGAAACTCCACCGTGATGTGGTCACCAAGCTGCACAGAGACCAAGCCGCCAGCATAGGAAGTCCATCTCCAGATGTTCTGACCCAAATCAGCTCTTTAACCCACCCTATTGGTTATGGTCCAGCATTACCATTTTGCCCCACACACCCTGGCTGGCTTCTGCCCTGAGGAATATTTCCTCCTGATACACCTTCACAAGACTCAGGAGGCTCCAGAAGCCTGAGGTGAGGCAGAGGTGCCCACCCCACACCCACATCCGCCATGGAAAAGGGTCATTATAGTCCAACGGGAAGACCTGCAACCAAACAAACTCAAGCCCAGGACCACCAACTGCTACTGCAGTGACTTTTGTATCCCTCACAACCCAACAAGTCACGGATGGTGGGTGAACTGCACACTTCTGCATCTTTGTTGTAAGTAAACGACACTTTAGGACAGGCTTTTTGTACATAAATAAAACTGCAAGCTCAGATGGGCTGCTTGTTTCAACACAAAGCACTTTGCCGCAGCGTGGTTAGTAGGGAAGCAGCAAAACGGTTGCCCCAAGTTTCGTGGCGCGCAGGAAGCACGTGGGGATGCCGTGTGGTTCCCTCTCTTGAGAGGGGCAGCAGTTGGAAAACCATTCCTACCACTCCATATCGTTGACGTGCTTTTCCTGAAATTTGTACTTAAATGGGAAAATCAACATAACCTTCCAGAGCGCATTTCCCAAGTCCTGGCTTTTTGCCCCTCTCCTTATGCCTCAGGAGAATCCCAACAACTACTAACGGACAAGAGGAGCATCGAGACTAAAACTGCTGCCGCTTGTTCTCCAAATCCTACCATGCATGTTAAAAGAAGAGCCAGCATGGAGCAGCCCTACGTTTTTAGGAGCAGTATGTTTCCTGTGACCCATATTCTCTCCAACTCACAGCTAAAAGAGAAGTCATCTCTGCGAGGCAGGCAGAAAACTAAAGCTGGGTTAAATAATGGAAAAACAGATCTGCAAGTATGTCAGTGAATAAATTACTCAATTCAGCGAGGGGCCGTTCTATTCATTATTTGTGAACACTTGTAAGATCATTAGTGTTCTTTAATAGGGTAGCCAATTACAAATGTGCCTGGCACTAATGTACAAAGTGCATTATTATAGATCCAGCGACGCAGTCCAAAAGCAGGAAATATCCCCCTCCGCAGACAGGCCAACAACAAACAGAGGAAGCAATTTTCAATTAACAAATTCAAGATTACTAATAGACTGAGAGCCCTAAAGAAGAATCTAAATTCATACCACTCC